ATCCACTTTGATAAGAGTTTTTTTAATAGCTATCTACTTTGATAGAAAGTGGATAGTTTTTATGGCCCATGAAACTTCCTCTCTGTGCCTATAAAAGTGAATAAACCCATCAAATTAATTCATTCAAATATAGAGAGGAAAAGAGAGAGAACGGTTTCTAGATTTTACTAGTTTTTATTTTGCAGGTTTAAATTTTTCAATTATTGCTATGAATGAATGTATGTTTCTTGATCAATTAATCCATATGTGAAAATCATGAATTCTAAATATCTTGGTATTAGGGTAATATAATTGCTTACATATCATTCACAAGAAGATCAAGTACTTAATCTGATTCTAGTTAATACTAACTTTAATTGAATAGATTAATGTGATTGACTCGTTTATGAATAATTATATAAATACTAAAGTATTGAGTAACTAAGAAGAGCTTTAAAGTCAATTAAAGACTAGCACTAGGACTTTGAATATCCCTTTATTAATCCGTTTTCATAGACAATGTCAAACGGGTTTAACTTGATGATCAATGTTTCTAGTTTATTTAGCAATCTCTTATATCTTTATGAAGGATGAGAACATGTAATAATGCATTAAAATACAAGAACATTCAATTAAATCATGCAAGACAAATCTTTATATCTCTACCCCTAACACGCAGATAGTTATCTATGTGAAGTCTCTGCATTGGATCTCCAATGTGTTGTTCTCTTAACAAAATATCAATGTGTCCATTTAAATGTCATTATATTATAGTTCGCGAGATCAATTACTGACTTCATTAGCGATAAATGCCACATATGTTGATCTATCAGTAATAACAATATACGTATCTCATCATTACTTATAATAATAGATCATTTAAGATTCAGTTATATGTAATTTGTATATCACAATTGGAAATCCTTGTGATTAACAAGTTACCAAATTTGAATCTACAGACTCTATCAATTTAATTTATTAGAATAATAATTCAATTAAATAATATATTTGCTATAAGTAATATTGGATCAATTATATCAAAAGTGTTTACATCTAAAATCGATTGAGTTTAAAGCACAATACTTACAGGTGATGCCAATCGAGATGAGTGGTTGCATTTTTGTTTCGGTTGAGGTGGTAGTGTGTGGCTAGATGCAGGGATTGGTAGTTAAGGCATAGGGAAGGTGTGGCCGGGATGCATTTTCTTCATTTTTATTAATTTAAAGAGAATTGAAAAAATTCATTTCACTTAACTTTAACTGTCAAATAGGACGAATTCTATCAATAAGGAGAAATTATGCCATCAAACATTGGGTGTCTGGTGCCATTTTTAAAGGTTGGGACAGTGGCAAACCCAGAAAATGAACTCAGCTAGGGTGGTCGACGGTCGTCAATCGTCAACGACCGCAATAGCGAGATCACGATAGAGGGAGAGAGGGATGACTACAAAAAGAGTAATATAACAAATCTTTCTATCTATTATTTGAAAAGAAAATACATATAATAAAGTGAGTGCACCAAATCTTTCTATATATTGCTTCACTACTGATAAAATTATTTGACTAGACATAATTGGATGGATGAACATAATATTGGCTAACTGCCATCATGAAAATTCTCTCCTAGGATTAACTATTAATCCTACATGCATAATTCATAACCTAGATATAATGAAGTGAAAAAAATCCTTGACACTCCATCAAACACTGTCCTCAGATAGCGGAAATTTCAAGCACTCTCAGAATGATGAATATCATTCCTTGATAACTCCAATGCCTACTCTTTAATCCTAATTGCGGTTTCCACAGTATTGCCTATGGTATCCTTTTCATTGGCTTCCGGACCAAATCTCATAAAAAAGATATTAAATTGCTCAAATTGTACTCTTTACGGCTCAAATTAAGAGAACTTCAATCTCTACTTCAACTCAAAATTTGAACACAAACACATCACATCACAGAATCACAATAATGAATCAAAACTGGAAATCATGAGAACCAAAACCATAACCCGACATATAACTGAAAGGGAGTGCATATCAAATTTACGTACCATCAAATTCTTCTTCATCCGATAAAGGAAAATCCAACGAAGTCTCAAGTCATATATAATTGATTTGGACCTAGTCAATTGAAAGGTAGAGAGAGGCCTAACTAACATTAATTATAATTTCAGCCCAACCATATGCAAAATGCCCAACTAAAAAAAAAAAAAAAGGAAGAGGAAGCCAGCAAACCCTCGCCTCGCGCTGGTCTTCTTCTTCCTCATGCGGTGCATTGTTCTGAAGGAGCCCAGCACGCGCGGCCGCACCCCCTCGCCAGTTGCTGGGCTAGTCGCTGGGTTGGGGATAGATATGCAACATTTTTTAAATGTTGATGCAATTTTCCCTATTACTAAATATCAAAAATGCTACTTGTACACACTTGGTACGCATCTTGGTACATAATCCTCTCACATGTGTGTGGGGTCCACAATGGGAGGGTTGTGTACCAATGTGTGTAAATGTAGCAAGGTTCTACTAAATGTATTGAAGATAAAATCTGAATGAAATCTGAACCTAGCCTACGTAATGCATTGAAAATGCAGTTAGGGTGATGTATGAGTGGGTTCACTAAAGGCCGCCACTTCTTATATTTGGATTGGTTTGAAGGGAAAATCCTCTCGGTTCATAGTTTATTCTTTTACATTTTGGTCTTACTAATTCTTCTTCCTTTAACTTAATTCCTAATTTTTATTTATTAGCTTTTCGGTCCTGCTAATTTTATTCCCATATATTTGGTTATAAGGTTTTGGTTCCTTATATTTGTCAGGAAACCATAGCTTTCTAAACTTCTACAATTAGATACTCTTCCGACAAATTACATAAGCTTACAAAATCATTGACGTGTAAAAATATAATGAGAAAGAGTATCGTCCCAAGAGAAATAAACTTTAAATTGAATCATACTAATCCATTATCGAATTCGAACGTTAAAGTAACAAAAGAGATTTGGTTGTTTTATTTCATTTATGTAGGTGATGAAATCCAAAAGATCTTTATTAGTATTATTAGCGTGTAGTAGATTAATATACTAATTATCTAAAAGTGTTTTTACTTAAATATGGGAATGTAGAATTTCGAATCTGTCTATTGTTATCTTATTTTCAATTCTCGATCTATGTAATTTAGTATGATTCATTTGTCTTGACAATCATAATCCAGTTTTATCCATATCTCTCCGGAGGTAAGTTCAAAATATCCTGTGCACGACCTGTCGTATTCTATTTCAAATTCATATGCAAAGTAATACATTCAATATACGATTATCTAGGTGATAGCAAATGCCATATATTATTCGTAACATCTATTGTCTGTCTGTTAAAATTGCAATGTTCTAACAAATTATGGGCTTCTTAAAACTATAACAAACAAATAATTATCTAAATGGTGAGCAATCATTTAAATAACGTAACAAAGCATACAAATTCAATAAAGAAAATAAATTAATTAAACTACTCGATCTTTAAATTAAAAATAAGCAATAAAAAGGTTAATTTTCATTTCAACACAAAGGAAATCTAGCCAACATGTTTATAATGTTATTACAAGAGTAATGAAAAAACATTACCCGGAAAGTGCATCAATGGAATAAATATGTGGAAGGAATTTCTTTTTATGAATCTTCAATTTCAAGTCTTGATTGTTCACTTTTTTTATGTAATTTGCCTTGAATTCCTTACTAGACTTGATCTTTTCTCCCAAATGATGGTGAGTTGGCTCCTTCTTGTTGAAAGATTTTATAATATGAATTGATTTGAGAGGCTAGCGAGGTGTTCTCAATGGTTGCCTATGTTTTGTACTTAAAGAGGACATAATTAGATCAAGAAACGCTTCAAACGTCATTTCCATATAGAGTTTCAATCGAAGAGGGAAACAGTCCGTCTAGTCAAAAGCCTTGGGTTGGCCAAAAATGAGCACAACTTAATGTTTGTTGGAAGTACATTTTAGTCCTCAAGTTTTGTCCTTTGCACATATTAAATCCTTCAAACAATTCTCATTCTTTGTCTTTCAAGTTCATCCAATTGACTCCGTATGATCTTCAATTATCAATTTTGGATTGGAATCAACTTTTGAATATTTACAATTTGGTCCTCAAACTTTAAAATCCTCATTTTCGTCAATTTTCGTTCCTTTCTTCAAATTCACTTCAAATCATTGAGTTTTTCTAACAAACGATAAATACACGAGATTAAGTTATAATTCATTAAAGTACTCCAAATGTCTAAATTTAAACGCCTAGATAAGTACATAAATTACACTTACGAAATACTTCCTTATTAATACTTATTTTAAACTAGCAATAATACAAGGTTAAATACTGATTAAAATCAACCTATTTACATAAACAAATTATTGTTTAAACAAATAACTTAAGCAGGTCAAAAAGCCTATTGTTACTTGATCACCCAAATTGTCGTCCATGTAAGTAGATTAGTTTCTTTTGTAAACAAAGTTTAAGTAAGTGACGTAATAGAGACGGACGTTAGATGATCAAATTTAAATATAAATATAAATTGAGTTACCAACAGTAGTTTTTAAAATAATTTAATCATCACAAGGCATATCAATAGATAAGGGGTTTTGTTCATCAACCATGTTTTCGAGTGAACTTATAAGTTAAGCTCTTGTTTGGTGGAGATTAAAATCAAATTCTTAACAAATTTTGATAAGAGATGAAATGTATAATTGAAAAGTTGTAAATTCTGCAAAGTATGCAGTTAAAATTAATTTTGATTTTGACTTACATTAAAATCTTAATTTTAATCCGGAGGGGGCAAAAAGCATTTGTCTATTTGGTAATAGTGATCATGGCCAACCTATTTAAGAAAGAATATTCTAAAAATGTTGTTAATGACAAAAACTCCCCTAAAAACTCTCAACCATGCATCTTCAACAAAACTACATGCATCCCCTCTCGCCTCCTACTCTTCCATTTCCTGGTTTGTCGTCCCTGACACGGACGGCAAACGTGTAACGTACGATGTCGACACCGTCCACTTCCTCGACCATCACAGCCTCTTCCTCCTCTTCCCTATCTCCGCTTCCCCCATCGCACTTACTCGAAGTCAGCCTGATATCTGCTCAAAACCTGGCTCCTGTCTCCAAATCCATGCGGATGTACGCTTTAACATGGGTTCATCCTAATCGAAAACTTAGCACGGTCACCGACCAACGAGGCAACAACAATCCCACATGGAATAGCAAATTTGCATTCCCCGTTGATGATGAAATCTTGGAATCTGACGATGCTGCTGTGACCGTGGAGATTTACACTCTTTCCTGGTTTTGCGATGTTCTTGTTGGGACAGTACACGTTCTTATCAGCGATCTCATCACTCCATCACCCTGGAGCAAGCCAAACTCCAAAAACATACGGTTTTTAGCCCTTCAGGTTTGCCGGCCGTCAGGAAGCCCTAAGGGAATACTCAACATGGGCGTTCGGCTTCTGGACAGCAGTATGAGAAGTATGCCACTACCTACCCCTATCAATCCTGAGAATTATTCTGAAATAATTGTGAAAAAAAATGTTAAACAGGCGCAAGACGAAGAAGAGGAAGAGAAAGATAAAGACGAATTGAACGCGAAAGTACTGCTCTGGCGTTCTTTAAGCGTAGGATCCGAGGTTACCAAAACCGAATTCCCTCTAAAACAGGGATCGGTATGTAATGGCTCAATGGTAAATGGATCAGAATTGTGTTCGGATATCGGGCCCTCAGCCTCGATTGTGGCGGCGGAATTAGCAATGAAGTCACAATCACCAGCAGCACGAGCCCCAAATAAAATGTACAAACCTGCAGAAGATGAGGGAACAGGAAGCTCCATCCTGGGGGATTTGACAGTCGAGGAAGCCAAAGCCAAAGGTTATCAATATATGTCGAGACAAGAGAGATGGATGAGAGAATCTGTGCCGGAGAATGAAATTGATGGCGATAAGTCTGAATCAATGAACGGATTTTCCCGAAGGAATTCTGAAGGAGACAAGTTTTCGTGTTTTTTCGGAAATCAGTATGGGATTCAATTGACCATTTCTTGTGGGTCGCCTAGCGATGGAGACAGCAATAAGAAACTCATTACTAGTAAGAGTACAAGCAACAAGTCACGTGAGGCAAATTCAGCTTAATTAGCCTTCTCCTTTACTTATTCAGCACAATTTTGACATTCCCTTCAATTTTTTTTTTTTTTTAATCAGTGAACTGCCTATTGTATTGAAAAATGATTTCTAGAATGCAGAAAATAACTTGCGATAAGCAAGATATTTCCTCAGAACACTTCAAGGTATTTAAGAATCTATTATTTGTTGCCTCTAATCATGCTTGATGATGGGATGTTCGAGTTGAAATCAATGGTTACACTGTGGTTCGATCCGAAATAGATTTACGTCTACATTGTGCTCTACTAAAGGAAACTCTGCGTGCATTAGGAAGAACTCACATCAAACTATCATTCATTCTTTACTCTCTTTTTAATGCAATTATCCTTCATTTTCATTCTTTCTTGTCCAATTTCAACTTCTCTCCTAAAATAATCAGTAAAAAAGTGTAATTAAAGTATCAAACTCGTAATAATCACCTGCAAATGCTACTTTTGATGACTAAGATACTACACTCGTCAAACACCCCAATCTTGACATTTGTTGATCCTTGAATAGAGCAAAATGGATACTCTAAACATATATATTGAACTTGTATATAATTCAATTCAATATTTCCTCAAATTGAATATCTAAATTACAAAATTCAAACAAACTAATGGAAAACAAGAATTAATAGTTATTTCATAAACTCCACAAATCATATATTCTGCTTTTGAGTGTGTGCATTAAATAATCTCAATTTCGCCGATACTACTTGAATCTAGTCATGTATTTCATCTTTGAAAATCTATTTTCCCATACAATGCCAACTTCCAAATATATCAATAAAGTCTCTCATCACTCGTATTGCTCTTTTGTTTTTTCAATTCAAAATTTTTTTTTTCCAAAGGTAAATTAAACAAATGCTAATGGGTTTATCTTCATCATCACCTTAACCACTCATCAATTGCTACAGCCTCTACACACTTTGGTGGATTTCAATTTTCTTTCTTTTTGTTCCATCTTCTGTTTTTGGAATCTTTTTGATTTTCGAATATAGTTTTTACTCTATAATGTAGGTAGCTTTCTTCCCCAATAGATTATCTTCTAAACATTGGTAATGAATGAGGTCAAAATACTCAAGATTAGCTTCACACTACAAGTTATGTAACTTTTTCCTATGTTTCGCAACTAGTGCAATGCGTTTCATTTTTTGGCTAACGATAAGAATCGAAGAATAGAACAGTAATGATAATATTGATTTTGGATTGATATAACCACCCCAGAACTTATTCTAAACGCGATATTTACCATGTTTCTAAGTGATTAATGTAATAAACACATAATATAGTCTTAAAAGATTCAAAGGTAGTTAATTTACAGAACTAATGTTAAAGTTATCAATAAGTGCAATAAGAAATGCATTAATCACGCTCAATTTGTTCAAAAGTCGAGTATAAAATAAAGAAATTCATGTAATAATTGAAAATGCAAGAGTTATCACAAATCAATTCAAATTTTGATCCAAGATAAATGCAATATTATCATTAGATATAAATCACATTATTCAAGTTAAATCATGCGAGTATGCAAAATAAAGCTGTAAATATTTTCTTTCGATATTTTTTTTCAATTTTTTCCTAACTCATAATTAAACCTAGATTATTTACACACTATCAAAATTGAAAATGGTGAAACAGTCACTGATTGTTTCAATACTCTTGTTTATTCAATTATCAAAATTACTTGCTTGAAGAAAATAGAAATGAAAATTTTCAAGCTATCAAAATTGAAAATGGTGAAACAGTCATTGATTGTTTCAATACTCTTGTTTATTCAATTATCAAATATTTTATTGGAACTCCTCAACATATATATTGATCGCGTTTGACCGCGTCAAATAGGCCCTTCAGTCCAGCTGCAGTTGACCATGGTCAACTCCATATATTTTTTTAACAATCTGTTTACAAATATTTTGGCAGTTGTGTTAGGATGATGACCAAAATGTAAAATATATATTAAAAAAATATTTAAACATGCCCAAAAAATAAATACGATCCTATTATTTATGTTATGTAATAACTAGAATAACAAGTTAAGGACTCGTTTGATTCTCATTTTTCATCTATAAAAACGAAAAATATGACTGTTATCCATCACATCAAGCCATTAATTTTGAATTTTTATTTCTTGTGTGGGGCCCAATAACAACTATATTTTTCATTCTCATTCTAAAATAATGATAATCAAACAGGGTTTAAATATTAGAAACATTGGTTACTTTTAGGGGTGGCTATGAGCTGAGCCACAAGCCGAGCAAAATAGGTTCGGGTTTTTTTTTGCCCAAGTCGAGTCGAGCAAAAGCCCGGGCCTCAATGGGCCGGTCTGA